CTAAGCCCCTAAACCCGTAAACCCCCAAACCCCAAACCTCCCTGAGGGTCAAGCCTTGGCTGACTGGAGCATGTCTTTCTGCTCCTCACGCGGATCTTGCGTTAGGATCTCTGGCTAGGGTTTTAGGGATCAGGAGTTGGGGCTTTGGAAAGTTTAGGGGCTTCAGGTTTTAGGGTTGAGCGTTTGGAGTTCTAAGGTGTTGGGGTTTAGGGTGCAGGCTTATCATGCTTTAGGGCTCAGGGTTCCCAAGTTGGGGCAGGGGCATATGACGGCTCTTAAAGAACACCTCAAGCCATCCGGAGACTTTGGGCAGCTCATATTCAGAAGCTCTTCTCGAAAGTTTGCCCTCCCCGAGACGAACATGGACACCCCACAAAAGCCGGCACTTAAAGGGACAGCAGTGTTGAAAGTGCCCCTAGAAACCTCCTAACCCTAAACCCTACATGTTGGGATCTCATGTCCGTCTGGCAGGACAAAAGGGGCATCTTTAATTGTTCTTCTGAGCTTCGTGCGACGTGTCCCTCACGCTGTCTGGCTTAAGCCCAAGTTTAGGATTCATGGTTTGGGAGTTAGGTTCATCCCACTTTTGGCATTTCAACGGGGACATCTCAAATCAAAAAAAGTGCCTCCGCTGTTGTTCCATTCCCACCCTATGTATCCTCCAAAAAAAATGCAGCTCATCACAGGACCGCTGAAGAGGGTTCATCCATGGTTGGAGGAAGCCCTATAACCCTCGAAGCCCAAATCCCAAGACTCAGTACATAAATGGCTATAGAACTTAAAATCCACCTCATAATAAGGACCATAGACCGCAAAAATCCGGAAAACTAGGCCCAAATCCTAAACGTAAAACCGTATTTCCTAAAACCTAAGCCAAGAACCAGAAACCCAGAACTCCTAAACCCCGAAACTCCAAACCCTGAGCTCCATATTATATGCTACGCCTTGACAGCTAGACGCTAAACACTCAATCCCAAAACCTGCTACAAAATAAACTTTCTCAGGGTCTCCTGAATGTCGCCATTCACCTTTGCCACTCGATCTTCCAGTATCTCAGAGCATGGTGGGGAGCTTTAGGTTCCTACGGTTGATACCCAAAATCCTAAGACCTCAAATACCTTCTACTCGGGAACCTGGTGAATCATGGTATTCCAGTATACTAAAGTCATGCAGGATGTCTAGAATCCGCCAACGTACCCAAAATGATATACACTTTGGTTTAGGGTCTAGGGTTTAGGGCATCAGGGCACGCAGGGCTTCCTTTATGACCCAAAATAAACATCACTTTGAGGATGTTGTGAACCCCATAGAACCGCCAACAACGACTCTAAGGGTGAAGGGTTTAGGGCCCTTTGAAGCACCAAAAGGACTTTAAAGGTGTAGGGTTAAGGGCCCTTTGAGCCACCAAAAAAGACTTTAAGGTGTAAAGTTAAGGGCCCTTGAACCACCAGAAAGTGATATTAAAATAATCAAGGCGGGAAATTAAGGGAACCCCTGGGAAACCTCAACCCTAACCTTACAGCTCGAGCGCTAAGCCCATGATAATATCTATACATACATATATGTATATACATGTATAACATTGTTTTTGTCATATACTCGAAACCCCAAACTCTCAACCCCAAGTCTAAACCCTCAACCCGAAAACCCCAAACTCTATACGTTAAATCCCTAAAGTCTAAAGTCTGAGCCCTAAACTGTAAACTCTAAAGACCCAAACCCTACAACCCTAAAACCCTAAACCCCAAAACCCTTAAACCCCAAACCCTAAACCTTGAACACAGGGAAGGCAACTGCTCAGCCATGCACCTGACGAAGCTCCACACCGAGGATCTCCTCTCCAGAGCTTCAGAGTTTGCAGGTTGCTAGGGTTGATACTTAGGGTTTAAGGGCTCAGGGCTCAGGATTTAGGGTTTCGGGCTTTGGGCTTGGGATTTAGGGTTCAGGACCAGGGGCTGGGATTTAGGGCGCAGGGTTCCAGATTTAGCGCGCAGGGCTTTGGATTTAGGGTTTAGGGTGCAGGATTCAGGGCGTGGGGCTTAGGATTTAGTGTGTAGGGTTTAGGATTTGGGATTCAGGGTTTAGCGTTGAGGTTTCAGGATTTGAGAGCGGCAAAAGAAATCATGGGCGTTGGAGCTTACGGTTTTGGGCTTACCTCGACCGTCCAGTTTGGTTCATTTGGGGGCTTGGTGTGGTCTTTTGCAGTTGGCTTTTTAGTAGGATCCCCAATAAAGGTGCTAGTTTGCAGGGGTTTGGGTAGAGCTTTGGGATTTCAGGCTACGGGGTATAAGGTTCAAGGCTGAGAAATTGGGAGTTTACGGTTTAGGGTTTCAAGGCTTCGCGTTGAGGCCTTCGGGTCACTCACGGTAGATCTGTGTTGGAAGCGCAAGGGACAAGGTTTAGTTGTGCGGAGCTATGTTGTAGGATCCAGGTGAGCAATGCTTAGTAATCATGCCTGTGATACCATTTGCAATCCTCTCTCCCGTTCTCTCTGGAAAGATCCTTTAATGGCAAGCCCTGGGCATCGCTATACTGACCCTGTACAACCCACTATCAACCCTATCAACGGGTCTGTTTAGACGGGGTAACCCCTTTTCCCCTTTGATTCTCAAGTATTGGGGTTAATTAACCATTCTTGGTGAATAGCCCTTTCTTCTCCGCCTCCCAGAAAAGCACAACCCTAAACTCTAAATCCTAAA